ATATATATATATATATATATATATATATATATATATATATATATATAGTTATTCAACTTTGTTCGGGTATTTTCCCACGTCATTGTAGTTGTGCTTTTAAAGTTGTAGCAACATTTCGGCAGAATCTCATCTGCCATCATCAGGCTTCTGTATTGTGTTCGCCTGTGAGTCAGACTTTTACAGTTGTTTCAGTTTTAAATTTGGGGCTAGCCTACTGCTGTGCCAGAATGGTTTTGTCTTCATCCTGATTGGTTGGGAGTCTTGGTCTGTGTTTATTGGTCTTGGAGTTTGCTGTGTTCTGCTTGATTGGTGTTTCTAATATCTTCTGTCTGTTTTGTGGCTTTTTTGTGTCTTGATTGGCTGGCAAAATTGTGTTCCTGTATTGGAGGCTTTTAGTGCAGCTTGGCTCCGAGTAAATGGACTGCTATCATTAGTTAGGAAGCTAGGTTTCATCTGGGTGCCTGGTTGGGGTGTGTTTGAGCTGGAGGTATCAGGGGGGATCTGTTTGTGCCCAGGTGTTTGCCTGGCTAGTGGTGTGGAGATTTTTTTGTTTGTGAGTGCAGGCTTCCAAATGATTGACAGTCTGGTGGAATCATCTCTTCTATTCATGCTTTCAGGTCTTTTTTCAATCTCTATGGCTTTATACATATACATATACATTCAGTATATATATGGTGTGTGTGTATGTGCGCGCGCGCACACACACACACACAAATATACATACATATAACTTTGTTAAAAGTTTTTTTAACAAAAAAAGAGGAAAAAGTAAAAAACAAAAAAACAGAGCAAAACCACCAGACCAATGGGTTATAGGAAGTTAGGAATGAAATCCTTCAACTTTAGGGAACAGAAAAACTATGCATCATTGGGAAGTTTATCTGTTTTTAAAAGGAAGGTTGTAGGGAAAAAAAACCCTAATAATTTGAATACTTTCTGCCATGTTTTGAACTGCAACCTTCTATTTGCAAGGCAAAAGTTGTCATATAACCATTCTGCTACTACAGCAGTTACAGTAAAGATGGGCTTAAAAGACATTAGAACAAAATAGGTCAGATAGCTTGTGGTACGTTCGTGTAGCTGCATGTGAATGCTTTAACTTTCTCTATATAGATAAGTGAGAGAAGTTTGGCATATTGGTGAAAGCACCAGGGTGGAAACTGGGAGATCGTGAGTTCTGGTTCCACCTTAAGCATGAATGATCTTGGGCCAGTCACTCTCTCTTAATCCTAGGAAGCAGTCAAGAGCAAACCATTTCTGAAATCTTGCAAAGAAAACTGTAAGGAGTTGTCCAGGCAGTTACCATCAGTCAAGACTGACTTGAAGACACCAGAATAGACAGGCAGAGACAGACAGACATATATGTTCAAGAAGATCTACCCACAGGAATGAAAACAATTGGCTATTTCTTTTCTGGAACAGAAAAGTGGAAGAGCAGAGCGGCAGGGGAATTGTCCAGCAAGAGGATGGTGAAAGCCTATAGTTTCCACTAAAACCTTTGTAAGCTATTGCTAAAGTGTTTGAATCTAGACAGCATTTTTTAAAGAGAGGCTCAGTGTCAAGCCTGGCTTGAGCAGGAACAACTTAAAACAGTAAGTTCAGTTAATGCCTTTGGGTTAGCTTATTTAACTCATCAAATCCCATCACTGCATTTGAGGTATAAGAATATCCATATCTACATTCACCTACCCAATAAAGAGAAAGCTGAGTAAGTCAGGCCAAGGCAAAGACCAATAGGGTGTGTAGAATAGAACTATGTGTAAATGATGGATTTCTCCTTTGATTTATATCCTACCTTTCAGCCCTGAAAGCAGCTTGTGACTCCCTAAAGAAGCAAGGAAACAACTAGTATTTATGTAAACTACTTGAAGTGCTACATACAGTGCAGGATACAATTTAATAATTTAAGGAAGTTCTGGCAACATTAATCCTGATTGTTCCTTTAGGGAACATGATCCCAGTTATATATGATTTTGCCTGTCTTGGAGAAGGTGTGTTCCAGAGTCTTCCCCTGTGAGAGGGGAAGGAAATCATGGTTTAGGAAGCAATTCTTCTCTAGTATGTATTTAATATTACCGGTACATGTTTTAATAGCAGCGAGGATTATCTTTGCACAATATTGGAAAGATGAAGAAAGACCTCAAGATGAAGAGATAATTAAGGAGATATTAGACTGTGAAGAAATGGAAATTGCAAATTGTTCTGTTCTGACAAACACATGGCTAGCAGTTGGCTCATAAATGTGTAAAACATGCTTTTGGTGTCACTTTATGGGAACATTCACAATAATCCTTCATGGCTCAAAATAGCAATAGCACTTAGCACTGAGACTTATATACCACTTCACAGTGCTTTAAAGCCCTCTCTCAGGAGTTTACAAAGTCAGCATATTGTCCCCCCAGTAATCTGGGTCTTCATTTTACTGACCTTGGAAGGATGGAAGGCTAAGTATCCACTCTGAACAAAAGAAAATAAAGAATTTTAAGGATTTGAAATAAACAGCAAAAAACAAAATAAGATTTTGATCTAAGAAAGTTATAAATGGATTAAGGGTGCAGATAAATTTGGAATATTGACTTTTACTAGAAGTTTTGGGAATAACTACAAAACATAAATAGTCTGTTATGGGAAACAAACTTATTTTGGCTATTCTGGCTATAACAAAGATCTTTGTCATAACAAAGATAAGCAATGATTTTAGAAACTGGACATTAGAGGAAACTAACAATTGTAAGCAAAGGAAAACATATAAGAATATTCTTGATGTCAGTTAATACTTAGGCTTACAAAAATGATATAAAATATTTCAGGACCACAAATATGAAAGGAGAATATTTGAATTTTACATACACATTATACATTTATGATCTTTAGGAGACATACAAATGTTTTAAATATCCATAGTCAGTATTTCAAGCCAAAACAACATCTGTAGAGATAAAAAAATAACATAAAAAAATCTATTATAGTTTAAAAGGATAGTGACTAGATTTATTCTCTCGAACCCAACCCAGTGAAGGCCCTCAGCCTGTGATAGTAGCCTAGCTCTAGAACAAGTTTCCATTCCTATTTTGTAAATCATCTCTTGTTTTGGAAAAGGGTTGGGCCATTTGTGGACATACAGGCGCTATGAAAGCAAATGGCAACTTGCAACTCTTGCTGTACTGACATGACTTAATGTGCAAAATATAGTCTTATTTTTCTTCCAACCCTCAATTTGTGGTTGATGCCCATGAATCAAACTTTTATTTATGGGCCTAAAATCATTACTGAGGTCTTGTGACTTTGTGTTACATTTTGAATATCATATTTTGTTAATGATTTATGTTAATTTATTTTTTTTATCATGGATGTTTTATATGTCTGTAATGAGGTAAACACCAGATTCGAGAGTATGCAATTAAATGAACAAACAAGGAAATAAATCATTACAATTGTTTTCCCACCCACATAAATTGCTGCTTCTTTTTGCTGGTACTCCAAATCATTTAAGGAAAAGACTTGGTGGAAATAAATAATTGTGTCAAACTTTCACTAACATACACACACCCCAGTAAATCAAACTGGCCCTCTTTTACCAATCTTATTTATGGCTAAATGGGTATTGCAAATCTGGCCTAAACCAGGCTGTCAAACTGGCGGTCAGTGGGCTGGATGTGTCACATGTAGGCCACACCCACCCCAACTCCACAAAGGCAAAAAACGCTGCGATACATCCCAATACATCACATGACGCGATCAAGTTTGACACCCATGGTGGTCTAAACTGTCAATCCATCTGCACTGTTCCACAATTCTTCAGTTGTGAACACCCACCTTCTGGAATGATCCCCTCCCACGACATCATTGGTCCCAACTCTTTTGCCTTCAAAAAAACAAACCCTGAGGTTTTCCTTGGGCATTAACCCAAGATTATTGGAACTCCAAATTGGAGAGGATGCAAATGTGAGATTCTGCCTGCTGACTTACATCTGTTTGGATTTGAAATGAAAATCTTTATCCTGTTTTGGTCCATTTCCTGTCATCTAATCTTGTATGCAGTGTTTGAGTTGGATGGACGTATCATTAAAGAAACAAAACAAGCAAATGAAGTTGAACAGAATCAGCTGTGAAAACTCCCAGAGTTTTTTCTGACCTTTTCCCTTATCTAGTTCCCATAAAAGCATTTCTAAGCCAGGGGATGAATAAAATGATCAGCCCTTACATGTGATGATTCTTTGATTCTATGACAAATTAACATTATTCGTCCAGGAAATATAAGCCGAGACAAGAGTAAACACAGTAAGCTTTGAGTAAATATTGTGTCCACTTCTGGAAACAAAGCTAGTGATTTAACGGACAACATATCTGCTGTTTAAAGGCCCTCCTGAATCCCCATAGAATGCAAAGTAAAGATGGGAGAGCTACATCACCAAATCAATTGTGCTCTCTGGTTTTGCCACAAAGCATGAAATAGCTGCTGAAATAAACCAAGGTAGGACAATGTGTAGCCTGCAAATGAGTCGTCCACCAAGCAGACGACCGATGCTTAGCTTTTGCAGCATGGTTATTTTGAAGAAATTTGGATTCTAGAGATATTGCAATTAAGAAGTGGATAAATAACCAAATCCTATCACCAAAGTTTGATCCCCAAGGTAAATTTGCCAGAGTTTTCTCAGATAACAAAAAGTTCTTCCTTAGGAAACAGATATTAGATGGAGGATTCTTGGCTTTGCAATTCAAAAGAGTTTTGGATCCAAAGTGCTGTTTCCAAGCCTTGAGAACTTTTAAGATGTATGGAATTCAACTCTCTTAATTTCCCAACCAACATCCTTTCCCTTGGCTCTGCATGGGACAGACCCCACTGGTGGTTTTGCATCCAATACTGAATGCTCCATCTCAAGAAGATTCATAGAACCTGGAATGGGTGCAAAGCAATGAGAATACAGGATAACAGAGCTGGAAGAAACCTTGCAGGTCTTCAATGCCTTGCTCAAGCAGGAGACCCTAAACCACTCTGGATAAATGGCTATCCAATCCCTTAAAGCAATCCCTTGGTGTTGAAGCATCCCAATTTCTGGAGGCAAATCATTCCACTAATTAATTGTTCACATTGACAGGAAATTTCTCCTGTCGTATAGTTTAGAGAAGCACAGCTTAGCATTGCTGAATTTGCATACATTCTGCCAAATTGAAGTGGTCCAAGGCAGAGCAGAAGGCTGAGCTAGATAAAGGCAGTTGTGGCAGGCAATGACCTTCCTGAAACTCCCTTCTGTTGTTAACAAGTTTTTGCTTTTTACACCATGTTTTTTATAGCATGAGATTACCAGGCATCCAGCACACACCATGGTATCCTTAACTCTCAAGCCCCAATAGGATGAATTGCAGCAGATAGCAGGATCCAGGAGTGGGAGATAAGCTTGCTCTGCAGAGTTGATGCCAGCTGTCCATTTGCTGTACCAGAGTGATGGTGTCAGTATGCTTAAGAAGAACGATAAGCCTAAGTTTCATTTTGACTTCCCGCCTTGTAAAATGGAAGGAGGATCTCCCAGTGATGAAGAGCATAATGTAGGTGTGGAGAATCTTTGGTTCTTCACTTACTGCTGAACCGCCTCGCCATTGGCCATATCGATGGGGATGACTGGGAACTGAAGTTCAACAGCATCTGAAAAGCCACATGTCCCTCATATTTCATGCAATGGATAAGTAGACTGCCTGTCTAGCTTCATCATTTTTTCTTTCAAGGCATCAAGATCAAACTAGAGCAGAGCAAAATGGCAGATCTATATAGCTAGAGGTGAAGGTGTCAGAATAGGAACACGGTTCAGATTCAAGTCTCCAATGGAGATGGAGTTGACTGGGTGATTTTGGTTAGTGTCATTCCTATGAGATACAGAACCAAAAATAAAATCTACAGGACTAGAATGATACCACAGCAGTAGGTGTTGTGACTCGGAGGTTTGAACCTGCTCTGTCAGAAGACATAGGCTCGAGTGATGAGGAAGATCTGGCATTAAGGTTTGAGCCTGCTTTGCTGGAAGTTTCGGAGTCGTCTTCCTCCCCAGAATCTTCCTCCCTGATTGTGCCTCAGGTGTCGGCAGATAATCAGGAGAGCGTGCCGGAGTCATTGGCTGAAGATCAAGCCGAGAAATGCTGGTCTGATGCAAGGCAAAGACGCAGGCAGAAACGTGAAATACAACGTAAAAGGAAATGTCAAATCAGGGACTGAGAAAAGAGACTGACACACCCCTCAGGGAATATAAGGAGGCGTGTTAGCTCTGAATCCCTGTTCGGGTCAACTTGTTTATTTGAGTTAGCAGTTCGGACAAATTATTCTGTGTGGCGTTTGCCTCTGATTTATGGTTCTGCTCGTTATCAGACTTGGTAGGCAGCTTCTGGGAAAACTGCCAAAGAAGGATTCAGCCAAAGGAAGTTAACTCTGTCATTCCTGTTTCTGTCTGTTTGTGTATTTTCCTTTGGAAATTTGGACTCTCACCTTGTGGCTACAGGTGAGACAGAACAAGTAGGCTATAATAATATGGTAAAATCTTTTAAGTCTGATTGTACTATTCTCTCTATTATATCCTTCAAAGTAGAGAGAAGCCAGCTTCAGCATCTTCCTAATATTGTTTCTGTTTGCAGGATCTAAGCAATGCTTTTGTCCTTTCTTTGCTTATGTAAGTTTCTGAATATTTGCTTTAATGCCACTTCTCTGGATCTCAACAGCAGTTTCTCTTTCTTTAGCCAAATCATTCTGTCAGAAAAATTATTGCAAAGATAAAATTAGGGGAGAACCCCTAATTATGTCGAACTCTTAGAAGAAAGGCAAGCATTGATGCAGTAAAAAAGCACACCGATACTGACTTTATGGTGATCCTCAGTCAACCAGGTCATGATTGTCCAGAAAGTTCTTTTTCAAAAGGCAACTGGCTTTGTTTTTCCTTGAAGATATTTTGCTTCTCATCCAAGAAGCTTCATCAGTTCTGGCATGATGGTGTGGGAGGGAATGGAAGGATTAGTTCTGACTCTCCCCATCCTATCAGAACTAATCCTTTCATCCCTCCACCATCCTGCCAGAACTGATGAAGCTTCTTGGATGAGAAGTGAAATCTGCTCAAGGGAAAACAAAGAAAGTCCAGTTGCCTTTTGAAAAAAAGCACCTTTGGGACATCTATATTAGCTTGCAGAATGCTTACTTGAATAGGGTTCTTGACAGACTGGTTCTTAAGATATGTTAGAATTCCACACAAATGTTCACCACCATTGCAAATGCTCATCTAATTAGGAGGACATTTATTCACAATCTGTTCATTTCAATATTAATGGTCTTATTTGATTGACTGATTGATGATTGATTGGAATTAAGAAGACAAACAACAAGCACCTATGTCCCTGAATCATCAAGGGATACTGCTTTTATTATTCCTTTGTATATTGTGTGAATTCTAATAATATTTGCTTCTGGTGATACATTTCTGGGCAGGATCTGGCCAAAGGAACATAAAACACTAGGTTGCATGAATATGTTCAGAGCTGCGCTTCTTGAAAGATAAGAGTAATACAATGTCAAAGCTGCCAAGGAGCAGAGAAACTAGAATTGGAAGAGAAAAGATGAAATGAAGATTCACCAGAAACAAGAATATAGGCCTGTTTTATATTAAATAGCAGTGTGGCAAATATACAGTACAACACTAGTTCTTTCATTGCCCACTGTCATCAGCAATCAGATGGAGACCTGCGGTTTCCAAAAACAACATTCATGATTTGGCAATATAGTGGTTTTTTTTGTGTGCCCTCAAGTCAGTCTTGCCTCCTAGTGACAATATTGGCAGGTTCATGCCATTTTCTTGGCAAGATATTGGAAGTGGTTTGCCCTTGCCTGCTTGCTCAAGCTGACAGAGTATGACCGATCCAAGATCACACAGCTGGCTACAGCAAACAGTCTCTTTGGTTTTATCCTGCTCCTTTAACCACTACACCAAATGGATCCTCCTGGCATTGATTAGATCTCTCTCAATACTAGAGACACTTCTTCCATTTACTTGATGCAAACCATGGACAGACTCAATGGTCTGGAATGACTAGAAGTGACTTGTATCCAAAATTTGGGCAAGGTGGTAAGCCATGTGCTGCAGAACATACAAGGACAACCTAGGCAATAGTTCAGCACATTCAGAACCCAACTATCCAATAGTTTGGCATAATTGCAACCTTTATCACAAATTGGAACCTCCTCATTGGTTTAGGTTCAGATTGACTGATTCTAGTCATCAGGAGTATTTTTTGAGAACACCCTCCAAGAAAGTCTCAATGTCTCAACACACTTATTGACCTAAAAAACAAAGTAAAAAAAACCCCAACCCCACAAATCCCCAACTTAAAAAATGCATGGGTAGGACCTAGCAGTTTTCAGGACAACTCCACTTAACCTTCCAGCAACATTATTGCTGTTCTACTTCGGATGCACAAAGATCCGTTCCACACTTAGGGTCTGCTCAGTTCCTTCATTCTTATAAATGTCTTGGTCACCAGCCACACCAGACGGAAATGCATCCTTCTATAGATAAGAGGGCAAGAAAATAAAGTAAGAGTTGAGTCATGAATTTGGAATCTTTCCATAAATTTCAAAAACGCCACTTAGAAATATTGTCCGATAAGGAACAGAAGTAACAAAGTACTTGAGGCAAAAAGGTTTATGACAATTAATAGGAGTCACTTCCTACTTTCATCGCTCTTGGTGGCCCTATGGATATGCCCCACTAAACAATGTTTTGCACAGTATCATTTTGGTTGCAGTGCTTTCAAAATGACACTTAACTAAAGCATGTTACTTATAAAGATAGCTAAAAAGATATTTTGCAGCCAATCCTTTTCTCTCACCCTTGCAAGGTAGTCCAGGCAAGAAGCACAACTAGGGGTATTAGCTCTATCTTTATTGCAAGGTTATATTAACAGAAGCTTGTAAGACTGAAAGTATTTCTCCCCTCCCCTCCTTTTACTCTTTGGAAAACTAGGGAGGGTCCCTTCTGAAATGCTTCCCATGTTTTCCCCCCATCTGCAGATTAAACTCCTCTTATCACACCATTACTTAGTTCTTCATTCTCTCTCCCAAGGTCATTTTCATATACCATTTTATTTTCCCAGAAGGATTCAAGGCATACTTGTTTTATTAATATTTTGCATTGGTGACCTGGAGAACTCAAGCAGTTGAATAAAACCAACCAATCAACCAGAAGTCATGTTTGCATAATGTCTTACGTTTGATAGAATTTAACTTCCTTTCTATGGAAAAAACACTTGGAAAAAGTGAACAAAGTAAGAGATGTTTGAGTAGAGGCTTTCAGGAAGAACTAGTCAATACAAAGCTTAATCTGATCCATAGTAAAAGTAATCAAAATATGTCAATTCCACAAAATGGGAACTGTTGACTCTATGTGTGATGTAGGGATATAAATAATCCAGTTGTGAACCATGTTTGTGAACAAAGTCTGAAAGGATGAAACCTATTCTATTCTATTCTATTCTATTCTATTCTATTCTATTCTATTCTATTCTATTCTATTCTATTCTATTCTATTCCATTCCATTCCATTCCATTCCATTCCATTCCATTCCATTCCAT